TTTATGTTTATATTTTATTTTATTTTTTTTGAGTACAAATCTCGGCCTAGCGATAACTCTTGCAGTAAAAAACACACGCACACACACACACACGAGAGCAGCGAGAGTAGCAGCGGATGCAGAGAAGTAGAAGACGAAAGCAGAAAAAAAGAAGTAACAACAAACGGAACATAACAGATAAACGCAGGCAGCAACAACAACAACAATAACAGCTGCGTACTTCAAAATGCGTAAAACTTTAAAATTGGTATATGAATTTACAGTTAAATAGTGTAGAACAATTAAACACGTTTAGCTCACTTACCAAGGTATGGCACAGCTCCCACTCCAATTCCTTGCACTTTTAATACAACATTTTCTGTTATACACAAGAAAACAACAAACACTACACAATTTCTGTTGCTGTTGTTGTGGCTGGTGGTGCTGCCACAGCAAACACTTTTCAACTTCTTTTTATAAACTTAAAGGGAGCACACAAGCACACGCACACATGCACAAGAAGAAGATATTTTCCAAGACAATCAGAGGACGGCGAAAGAAAAACCGGGACTACCGAAAACCCGTCCGTTCACCAAAGATCCACACTCGTTACTGAGCGAGCGGTTTGTTAGCGGCCTGCCATGCGTATGGTAGATACTTTTGAGCGAGAGCTCAAGAGCGATCGGATGTATAAGAGTATACGACGGCGCAGAGATGAAGTCATAAAGTAGCCCATACACTCTACAATCTGTCTGTACCTGCCGAACTGAAGTACGTGATTGCAGGTAGGTTATGCGCTACGACTTGTACCAAAATCTATGTATGGAGTTTAATGTGACTAAAGTAACCTAAGCTTCTAATAAGTTAATATAATGGAATTAAATTAATTCTGTACCTTTTAACAACTTCAGAAATTACTATGTACATGTAAGTGAAGAAAGGATAATAAATTTTGGTACATTTCAATTTCCACTCAACCGAAGTCTTGATGCTCAATGCAACAAGTCACGAATATTCCACTCAAGTAACACAAATTAACTGCTATAAACATAAAAACTCAACGTGAGCATAAGACACTAACTCTCTCTCTCTCTCAATTGACTGCATGTGTTGGAGAGCGAAAGAGTTTTGTGTCCGATGCACAATCAGCATGCTTATCTGGCAGTTCATAACATATGTATGTACATCAAATTTAGTAATTTTATATGTGTTTGTAGTACTATTTATTATTGCATTAATTTATATTCTTGAATATGTTTTACTGAAATTCACTTTGGTTTTACTATACATCTATAAAATATTTTTCTAAATTTAAATTTAACTGCTATTAAAACTAAAAGGAGTGAAACATATTTAAAATGATTGGCAACGCTGACGTATAAAAGCGTTGGCAATGCAAATTTTAGCAGCCCTGCCAACAAGAGAGAGCGACAGTAAACTTGTAATAGAGCATTAGTATAGGTGAATTTATTAGCGCCAAGCGGGGTGTATGCGGCACTCACACACAGAGGCTATACGAAAGAGAGAGCAAAATGCAACGGAAAAAGCGCCAACGCCGCAACGAGTTGTCAGTTCACTTTTGGAGCTCATACCGAGCAGTCGATCGCAAACGAACTGGAGGGCTAATCGCACTCTCTCCAAGAGATCGTTACGATTTTTGAAAACATAAAAAAGTGAAAAGAAACAGTCGTCAAATCAAAAATTAAATATGTTTTAACCCGAGCAGCAAATCTACAAAATTATATGTGTTACGTTTGTCATCAAAATTCTTTATAGCTCCCCCACATTCAAAACGCGTTAAAATAGTTAACCAAAAAAAAAACGCCATTTCTTTATGGTCAATAGACGGATTTATTTTTTGGACGCTTACCAAGAAAATGTTTGTCTTTGTGGCAAAAAAAAAAAAAAAAAAATAGATATCGTGCGGTGCTGTGTTATGCGGAGTCCATTTTTTTGTTATAGCCAAAATTTCTAGTTTTATGGTGTGCTTACGGTCGCTGTTGCTGCTGCCCCATTCCGTTGTGCATATCTCTACATAAGCACCCAGCAATATTTAGGTGAGTCCGCAGCGCTACACACGTACATAAGTAGATATATTTGAACCTGGCTGCCAACTGTGCAACTGTTACAAGTTGCCCCGCCACCCAGCTAATATCACAAATATAGTCCAGTACGACTTCGAATATACCCCCAAAAATTGATTACGCAGTACACAAAGCATACAGAGCGACATTTGCTACTTCTTCTTCGATATTTCGCGTTTAGTTTCATTTTGTGTTGGACGAAGAAAAATGCGTTGGTTGCTTTTATTAATACAACACCAACACACATACACACATGCATACACATACAGAAGCAGCTAAATGAACAAGTGTAAATGAATGAGAGCGGGAGAATAAGTCGTATCAGCTTTTAAGCAATTGAGAGAGGTAGCGCGGGCGAGAGCGAAAGAGAGAATCCGGCATGCGCAGTGGTGGGCAATAGTAAGCGTTGTGGGAGCAGTGGAGCCATTTGAGAAGCTGTTGCTATTGCTGTTGTAGTTGTAAATTGCTTTCTGTTTGGTTCTGTGTGCGCGTTAGTGTGTGTGTATATGTGCTATGTGCGCGGCAAAAATCTCTGCCTCGGCCTCGGCGTTTATTTATTTATTTTTTTTTTTTAATAAAAACTGACAACTAACTGTGAAGCGCTGCTGCCGAACATCGCGATTCATTTTACGTTGACAACAGAGAGTGGCTTTTATTTTGATGTTGTTGTAGTTTGCTATTGTCGCTAGCAGGTGACGTCATTTGACAGTTATATATTTAACAAAAAAAAAAAACATTGTTTTAAATGCTTATTGTTAGTGCAGCTTAGTTCTAACTACAAAGCCAATGAATGCAAGTGTATGCCTGAGTTTTGCTCGCCCCTTTTCAATGTTTACATGCCGCGACCGCCGATAAGCGCTACATCTCTGTGTGCGTGTGTGAGTACATATATACATATGTACATACATATGAGTATGTTTGTGATTGTTCTTTCTTCTTTTTACTGATATGATTTGTTGTCGTCACGTGGAGTGCATGTACAGCTACATTTGTGTGCATGCAAGTATATAGACATGTATGTATGTATTTGTACTTTTTCATGTGTTTGTTTTGGCGCGATGGAATTTCAGAGCCAAGCATACGCTCTTTTGTAAACTTTACTTTGAAAGCTACTAATTTCCGTTAGAAGTGCTTCACTTACCAACACTGCGCAATTTGTTTGATAAGATCCATGTTTTCATGGATTTATGGGAGTATATATGTATGTATTTGATGATTTTAATTTGACATATAATACAAAATTTGAACATATAAGAATTAATAAAAAATATCGAAATTAGAATATATCTAGTAATATTGATGGTGATATCATCAAATAAGATGATTTATTATATTGCAATATAAAATACTACCATAAAAAGTTTATTAGGGATTTTAATTAATAGGATAATACAATGTTTTTTTTAATATATGTATATATAGCAGAAATTTCGAATTACTTATAGTGATATCATACAAATTTAAGCCCTTAAAATACCTTGTATGAATATAATCAATAATTCTAGCAATGCTTAAAATAATGTGTATAACTTAGGTAGGCTATACTGTACGAATATATTGCACATATAGTTAGTTCATCAAGTCCCTGTATTTCTCTTCAGGCCATGGCACACCTTTGAAACTATACGCTACTATTTTTATTTTCATATCCGAACTACATAAATTGTCTGCTGTTGTCTTATATAGAGGCAACTATACATATGGCTGTCTATGCGCTGGCCCACCTGTGTTCGTAGTTTCTCACTTTAATTGCAATCTATCTTTAGCTCGAGCATTTGCCCCAACTCCTGTCCTGTCTGACTGCCTGACCTGGCGTGCATTGAGGTTTCTGTTCTCTGTTTTCTTGACTTTTAAACTTTAAATCCGGAAAAGGAAATGTAGGTCCCTTTACTATGAACGCTCTGAACGAAAACAAAAAAATTCCCTAACGGCACGCCAACTGCTCTTTGGAGTAACTAAGCAAAAGGTTACAAATTTGCATAAAATCGAATGTTATTAAAGTGCTGGATTTGTTGCGTCAGTGTGTATGTGTGTGCTGTGTGCTTATGTGTGTGTGCATGACGAAACACATTCCCCGACATGGCAGGCCAACATCATAAACTTTGCTGCCCCACAATACCCGACCATCAGCCTTGCTTAAGGACTAAAAAAGGAGAACGTTTTAGTACCCAACTATCGTGTCAAGACTTTATGCCCCGAACTCATGTTTCATATGTTTATTGAAAATTGTTTTGTTTTTCTGTCAGTAAAAGTTTCTTCATTCCGTCTTTATTGCTTTCCAATCGATATTTATATGAGCTTGTCGTACATCTTCGATATGCTGCAATGTTAAATCAAATTTATATTTTGAATACCCTGCCTTTTTTTTAGAGATTGCAGAGAGTATTACAATTAAGATATGACACAAAATTTTTTTAAAGAATAACTATGGGTATATAAAGAAATCTTAATAATTTAGTGGTTTTACTATTGTCAAAATTTGCCATTTTTTTAAGAAATCCGAATGTTGATTAATGATTGTGTATATAACACGTATAATATATATGTATATGAATTCAAATAAGCTAGCTGTTCTTTCGTATACCGTCTATGATCGTGGGCGCATTTGAAAGTGATTCAGGAAATCCAAATTAGAATACAATTGGCTAGCAAAAGTTGTCTTAACCAAATAAGCAGCTCTTAACTGATTTTTTAAGGTACACTATTCATACAAAAATAATTCAATATCGTATATGAATTATTAAATTTTGATTGCTTGACAAATTAGTCATTTAAAATTTAAATTTCGCATACATTTTTAAATACATATTGCAATTTTGTTTTCTTTTTATACTCTTCACTATATATCATATCGTACATTTTGATTTCTAGGCAAGCGTATTTAATAGTCGTTGCTCTGTTATATATTTATAGTTTTTATTAGGATGCGGATGTCGACAAATTTGTGTGTCTTTTACGTGCCTTTTATGCATATCAATAAACTCATATCCAACACACAGCAGACACACACATTTCTATCTATATGTCTCAATGGAAAAGTGGGGCAAATAAGGAAAATGCGGCATCGTCGCAGACATTGTCCTCTTGGCTGCTAAGCAGGCCAATTCGTATAAAACGAATAAAACACATACATTCTTTTTTCACCAGTATTTCAATATAGGTTACGACCAGCTAGCTATACATATAGATGTAGATATAGATATATTTTAGCGGAACACAGCATTTACTTTGTTCACTTAAGGCAAAGTTTGCTGGGTGGGCGATTTTATTGGCTTAAGATAAATAGCAAACAAATAAAAATAATAAAAGTTGTTGGGAACAAGCGGAAGTATTGTGGTGAGAATACAAGACGTGGGCATAAGTCTAAAAAAGGCGCTCTATAATTGAATCTAGTTTGCTGAATGAGAGCTGAGGATGTATAGAGTTCAAACAGAACTTAACCAATTGGTTTTTCTTTGTCTTTTCAGTTAACTCAAAATTCACGTCCAAAATGCTGGAAGACGACAATTCAGATCTGTTGGTTTGTGCCACAGAGTTTAAAGAAGGTATTTAAAAATGAAAAATTTGATGTGAAGATACATATTTATTTGACCTATGTCTAATTCGCTTTCTTTGTACATTTTAGATCGCCTGTTCTTTGTGGTATTCAAGAAGAATATCAAGCCAAAGAATACGGCCAGCACACATTACTTTAGCATAGACGATGAGTTTGTCTATGAGAATTTTTACAATGATTTCGGGCCACTCAATATATGCATACTGTATCGGTATTGCATGAAGCTCAACAGCAAACTGAGTGCCAAGAGTCACGCGAACAAGAAAATCGTGCACTACACCTCCATGAATCCGGCTAAGCGTCTCAATGCGGCCTACCTGATTGGTTCGTATGCAGTAAGTTTAACCTTTCCAATTTGGGTTGATGATATTTATAGTATAAATATATCACTTTGGTTTAACGCCTCTCAAGGCGCAAATTGAAATCTTGTTTAGAGAACATGCGCTGGCCTGTAACATATCATTATAATAACAACCTTACCAGACTCAGCCACTTTTGTAAAATTGTTTTAAGCTGAACAAGTTAATTTTATGAAGTGAAGAACGTGTCTAGTTATTTGATGTCAATATATGATATACCATATATATTTGTACTAATATATGTATACTAATATAGTATATGGTACATCATCATCATCATTCAGTTTAGGCGCCTTATTCAGTTTATGCAAGGGAACCAAATTTATATATAGAATTATAGTATATGTTCCAAGAGTAATTAAGCACACAAATTAACATTTCGAATTGACATCTATTCTTTTCAGATAATTTACCTGAATAAATCGCCCGATGTGGCGTACAGATTGTTAGCGGGCCCAGAGGTGCCGGCATATACTCGCTTCTGTGATGCGAGCTACGGACCCAGCAACTTTAAGATCTCGCTGCTCGACTGCCTCAATGCCATACATAAGAGCCTGCAGGCGGGCTTCCTTAACTTCAATGACTTTGATGCGGAAGAGTATGAGTACTTTGAGCGAGTGGAGAATGGGGATTTCAATTGGATAGTGCCGCAAAAGTTTATCGCCTTCTGTGGACCGCACCAGAAATCGAAAACGCTGCCCAATGGCTATCCGTGCCATGCGCCAGAGCGTTACTTCACCTACTTCAGGGACAACAATGTGACGACGGTGATTCGGCTAAATGCCAAAGTCTATCATGCCTCATCGTTTGAGAATGCTGGCTTCGAGCACAGGGATTTGTTCTTTATCGATGGCAGCACGCCCAGCGATACGATACTCAAGAAATTCTTGTCCATCTGCGAGACGACAAAGGGTGCCATTGCGGTGCACTGCAAGGCGGGCCTGGGACGCACCGGCAGTCTGATCGGTGCCTACATTATGAAGCATTACGGGTTTACGGCGCTGGAGGCAATTGCCTGGCTGCGCCTCTGTCGCCCCGGCTCCGTCATCGGTCATCAGCAGCAGTGGATGGAAGAGTAAAGATTGAAGAGCTTTTAAGTTGAATAAATTTGTTAATAATTCTTATTTTTTTTGCAGCAAGCAGAGCTGGCTGTGGTCAGAGGGCGAACGGATGCGTCGGCGCTTGGCTTTGCCGATTCTACAGCACAAGTATGGCATCTATAGCATTGAGCTGAAGGAGAAGTTGGCCAAAAACGAGCTAGAGGAGCAGAAGCCGCTGCCGCTGCCAGCATCGGATGCCTTCGAGCATGTCGACTTGTTGTTGACGCGGGTGAAGCGCATCTCACAGCGTGTGGACACAATGCATTTGCATGATCAGGACACCTTGGATGGGGGATGCGATCAAACGGATGAGGAGCTATCCGAACAGCAGCTGGAACTGCAAGAGCTGCACTATCATTCCACGGACGAGGCCAATTGCAATGCCAGCGATAATGATACGGATACAGCCAGTGCGCCCGCTGAGCAGACACTCGGCTCTAGCTACTCGATGTCGACGCGCCGGCGCAAATCGCCGTCGAGTGCCAACAAGCCCACGGTAATTGCAAATTCGCTGCGTCGCCTGGTCAGTCCTGGGAGCATGCGCAACACTAGCAGTGGTAATAGCAGCGCCATTGCCAGCAGCTTGGAGCCGGCTGGCAGCTGCACGGAGAAGAAGCTGCGCAAACCAAGCAGCAATGTCTTTGAGGCAGCGCGCCATACAATTGCATCCTCTGTGCGCATGTCCCAGACGGCGCTCGAGAAGAAGCAGATGCAAACGCAGGGCGACAAACTGAATCAGATCAAGGCGTTGCGACGACATCATTCGCGGGCTGTGAACTCCAACAACAGGTGGGTATTCGCTATATACATATACACAAAGAGGTCTGCATGAGTGAAACCAAACCAATCACAACTCCAACTCCATCCAGTTCGAATGCATTTGATTTGACTTATGGATATTGTGACTAGGCCATGCAGACCTCTAATATGTATACATACACAAATACATGTACATTTTGAAGACGCATTATACTCAATACACAATATACTCTGTAATTTAACCGTAGTGATTCGGATCCAATCCAACGGCATACACGCGCACGTTCTCAGCCATTTCGCAACAACAACAATGTGGTGAATATGTCAACGYCACCGCCTTTGGCTCTTAAAGCCGTTAGTTGTTTGTCTTCGACAACAGCGGCCACTGCAACAGTAACAACAGCAACGTCATCTACAACAGCAACAACAGCATCATCACATAACCTTAACAACAACAACAACAACAACAACAACGGCAACTTTAATATAAACAACACTTTGCATAACTGTAACAATAATAGCACTAACAACATCAACAACAACAATATGCAAACCAGTACGGCCAGCCGCACACGCAGTCTGGCCATCTACAGCAAAAGGTAAGTGCCCAGCGATCGTCCCCCACCAGTAGAAAACCAATCCTTCCGGCACACACACACACACATACAGACAGCGCTACACAATACACACACACACATACACATACATACTTTTGATTTTGAAGCTCGAACTGTGCAGCGGCTTTTTGTATTCTCGTCTAGTATTTTTTTAGCATCTTTTAATCCCGTCTCGTTTTTTCGGTGTCCTCGTTCGCTTTGCACCTTTTGCCAAGATTGTATATAAGTTTTTAGCATAGTTTTTAATTGTATGCCCCATTCGCTAACCGTTATTATTGCACACATACACGAAGCTGGTGTGAGAGTGAATTTGTTTTCGATAAGTTGTTATCGATAGCTTTCGCTCTGCCGGCAAGTTAATAAATTCGTTAACAAACACTAATTTTACCAATAATTTTTTTTTCTTATATTTGATTTATTGAATTTTTGAGTATGTACTTACATTTGTTGTTTATTATTCTTTCCTTCAATTAATTAGTCTTACAATTTGTTTGTGCATGCAAAAATTTACAAAATAAAAACACAAATCGAAATCAAAATTGATTGAGCTTGCGATAATTTTTTGGATATAAACAAACTTAAATTTTTTTTGTTTTGTTTTTGTCTAACGTTTGGCGATTATGTTTTTGTTGCTGCTTGGCATATTTTGTATACTGTTTTTTGGCTCCTGCGTAGTGATTAAGATTATGCTGCGTATCTTCTACAACAAATAAATCTTTATCTATTGTCTCTCGTGCTTGGCTGTGGGCTCACAATCTTTCGTTCCCCTTTATCCCCCGCCCTTTCCCCCCCGCCTGCTCCGTCCAAAAATGACAGAATGGAATTGAAGCACCTGCGCAATGCGGAACAGGAACAACAGCCCGCTGCTGTGCTCGATAAGCAATTGAAATCCTATGCAACGATCAATGAAAGTAAGATACCCATCGGTGTTGGTGGTGTGGGTGGTGTCGGTGGTGCTGGCAGCTCGGCAACCATACCGCCGGTACGCAGCAGCTTGACGCGCAGCTCGCTTCATCATATGACGCTTAGGGGTCGCTCACGCATACGCTATCAACGGCCGGGGCAAGTGGCTTGCGGCGCAACCGAAGAGCAGACGGCACAAGCATGCACGATGGCAACCGCTCGCTACTATCGTGATGTGTCCGCGATACCAGCGACGACACTGGTCACGGCTGCATGTGGCAGCGGCATCACCAGTGGTTGTTGCACTGTAGCGATGCGTTCCTCATCCGCTACGCTTGACCTTAACTCTAATCCGCTGCCAGCTGCTGGCTGCAACAACACAACGACTGCAAATGCAGCAGCAACAGCTACAACAACAACAATAGCAACAACTACAACAACAACCAAGTCAAAGATACCGAACTTGAACAACAACAACAACAACAACAATAGCAACAACAACAGCAACTGCAATAGCAATTTGAGTAATTCGCATTCTTCTACACCTCCCCCAGACTCAAGCCGTCTTAGCATGTTGGCCAGAATGAACAGTGACAATGGACGTACCAGCGACGAGCAGCCAGCCAACAGCAAAGATCAGCAACAGCAACAGCAGCAGCATTTGGGTGGCAGCAAACGGAACAAGCGTTCGCTTAGCTCCACACGCATCGAGAAGGACAAATGCGATGAGTATAATACGAAATTGCTGCGCAAGACGAGTGTTGCAGCTGCAGCTGCTGCAGCTACAGCAGCAGCAGCAGCAGCCGCCGCCACTTCAACAATGAGTAAAAGCAACAATAACACCAACAGCAACAACAATAATACTAATAGTAATCATAATCTGAATAGTAATAATAATAATAACAATAGCGGCAGCAGCAGCAAGTACAACAGCAACAGCGGTACACCGACGGCCAGCCTTGGAGGTGGGAGTTTCAGGCTATCGCGTCGAATCTTTGCTGAATCAGGTTCATCAGCCTCAACCTCGGCCTCCAACTCTGGCATACCGACACCGACGCAGCCGCCAACGTTGCCCTGGCAGCAGCATCAGCCTCATCATCCGCGTGTATCCAGTCGCCTGACCACGGAGCGTGAGCAACAACAGCATCTAAAGCTGCGCAAGAAGATTAGCTACTAAATGACATAGCCGCAGCTAACTGCAGCAGCTACTGCAATTGTTATTGTTAATACCTATTTTGTAAAGCAAATTTTGTAGTATTAATAGTAAAATTTACACATTCGAGACCCACACTCAACAGCTTGGTTTGGTCTTGGTTGTTGTTTTTCTTATTCTCTTTTTTTTCTATACAACATTTGGTTGCAAGAGGAGCGAATCCGCAGGAATTGGCGAAACTGATTATAAAATCTTTTCAAACAGTTATTTCTAAGATCCATATAATATATATAAATTTAATCATTGCTTGAGTTTTAAGCACTGCATTCTTTTGAAAGCCTTAAATTATATCTTATAATATGTAATTTCTTGGTTGTTTAAGCTCTGCGCCCATTTGCTGGCTGAAATGAGTTCAGTAAGTTTATACAATACAAATACAATAGTTCATTGCCTTATATATTTAATTTTTTTGCTCTTTGCATATATAAAAGTTGATCAGAAACTCATTTACAACAAAATAGATTTAGATTTCAATATACATACATTAAAGTTTAGTTTGAACTTCGGAGTCCCGCAAGGAACATGAGTGTTACTCGATAAAAGTGCATTGGGTTTAATGTTATTTGTTTCAATATAAATATGCAACAAATATTTCAAATACGGAAAGCTAAACACTTTCGTTAAAAATGAAAAGCTTGTTAAATTTATTTTTCAGCATTCTTTTTATATAATTTAGAACAAACTCATAAAATTGTTTGGATTTTTTTTTGTTACGAATATATCTACACTTTGAGTGCAGAATAACTTATAGTTTGGCATTCTCAGAATTTGTAAATATATATTTTTTTCGTTCATTTACATATTGGGGAAGTAGCCAGAATTTAAAAAGCAGTAATTTTGTATTTGCTGAACAAAGTTCAACTAATTAGTTATATATTATTGTTTTTGAAAAATAAAACAAAAATCAGGCTTCATTCCTTGGGCCAAATTGTTGTGCAACGTTAACAAAAACAAAAAAAATGTACACGACGACCTTAACAGAACTATCGCTTTTATAATCGAAGAACATATATATGTATTGTATTTTTATTATAAAATGTACAAAGTATATAAGCATAGATATTAATTTACAACTATGCATATATATATATTTATATACATACATATATAATCATGTGCATTATTTCAAGTGTTTATTGTATATAACACGTTTAATTAGTTTTTAAGTATTAGTTGAAATATATGTTAAATATATATAAACAGAAACAACGGCATTTTTGGAACTCGTCCTCTTTTCAGTCTAGACTAGCATAATACGAAAATATTCTATACATTCATTGTAGATCTTGCTCTCCAGCCCCACAAACACGCAATCGTAATCGCACTTCAATTCGATCTGGAGCAGAGGCTCCATCGACTTGCCCTCGAGGGTGGTAATGCATGGCTTAAGTTTAAGTGCTCTAAGCACGGCCATCAATTTATCTTTGCTGGAAGTGTAGCTATCAGAGTTGATCTCTTTAAATGCAGCCTCTTTTAAGTGTGGATAGAAGGACTTAAAGTAATTGTGACGATCGCAGAGCTTGACGGAAAGATTCTCTTCGCCGCCGGCATCGGTTAGCTCCCGATATGTTTTGAATTTGCGCCGACGTTCGTTCTCTGCATCCTCTAGGCTGCTATCCAGATCAGTTTTGTCAGTCGCCTTAGTGGAGACCACCTGCTTATCTGCAGACACTTGATCCAAATCGTTCGATATAACGCACAGCATTTCAATGGCCGCACGCTGGCGTGCATCCTTCTTTTTATCGGACTTGCCGTAACGTTTGATGGACGCCACCGAGCAGCAGGCCACAAACTCTGGAGCATTTGGTGATCCGCTTTGCTGGACGATTTCGATAACAGGCAACGGCATATCATGACGGACACAATAATCGCGTAGCTCCTTCAACATGTCGCGATTCATATTTGTCAGCTCATCAGCCACACTGTCGATAATGAAATTATCTTCCCCATTATCTGTGCCATCGATACCAAGGTGACTTAAGCCCGGAATTTTGCGTAATTTACGCATTATATTGGCGGCGGCCAAGTGCTTGGCATCACGCTTTGATCGCCCTGCAAAGTATAATATTCCAATATGAATATAAAACACTTAAGAACTTGCCCAAGCGTTTACCATTGCCAAAGGCTTCAATATCCATTAGTACGACTTTACATAGGTAACCGCTATCAGCGCCATCTATATAATCATAAACGGGACTCCCGGTTTTTGCCTGGGCACAATACTCTTGAAGCGCTGAAACTGCTGACTTGTTTTCCATGGGGTGAACAGATAGCGAAATCCAAATGTCATCAAATGCGTGCAGAGCTTTAACTATTAACCTTTTAGGATTTCAATGTAAAATTGTTTAATATACAATTTTTACAAGAATATCGAGTATGAAATTTGTTTGTAGTGTTGCCATATCATTCACTTTTTATAATGTACTAAATTTGCCATAATTTTTGTATTACTCTGATTTTGTATGTGCTCTAAGCTGGAATTGGAAATTGATTTGTTTTATATCAACTATAAAAATACATTTATATATAATTTAAGTTGAGACAACATTGTCTTCGTTTGTTTTAAATACACGTCATTTGGTCAACAGTGGCATCGCCAACGCTGTCAAAGCAACCCTGAGTACGTATTAAAACAAGTGTTGCTGTAGACGAAGGAACTTTGATTATTTATTTTGCTCAGCTCGGCTCTGCTCGAAAATTCGTTTCATAATCAACAGTTCACAATTCAATGCAAGGCGCCGCACGACGAAACACAGCAACAATTACGTTTTTCGTAAAACATCAATCAATATTTGTTATTAGCTAAATTTGTTGTTGAAAGAAAATCGTACCAGCGGGGAGAGTCAAACGAAGTGACCGTGGAAGTCTACACAATACACAAACACATACAAACGAATAGAGGAAAATACGGTGCGCCCGCCCCTGCACTAACTAACTGCATACCCCAATTGCCGCCCAGCTGCTGCCTAACGCTGACGAATCACGAGCTCACAATAAAGTAACGGAGAAAAAAATAACACTTGTCGCTTGTTGCTCCATTTCGTATCGAGTGGGTCGTGCTTAGCAATTAGTAACGACGCAGAAAGTGATCTGGAAGGGTGAGGAGGGCTAAGTAACTATGGATGATACCACAGGCACAGCCACGCCGTCGCCGTCACCAGCGGCCACCACGGCCGCTGGCTACGATGCTGCACGAGACAAAACAAATGAACCAGTTGCTGCTGCCGCTGCCGCCGCCGTCACAGCCAGCGGTATTAGGCTCCTGATTAAATCGTCGAATCAGCAATACGACGATGTGAATATCGAGAGTGATTTGTGCTGGACTGTGCAGAGACTCAAGAAGCAGCTATCCCTGGTGTATCCCGGCAAGCCGGTATGTGTACAACTACAAAACACACATTACTTATAAATATATATGTATGTGCGTGCATATATATGCATATCTATATATATTTATTATAAACATTGACGTCAGCTTTATATAGGTCTATCTTATCAGCTGTCTGCGTCGCGCTGGCAAATCTTTTGTTATTTGTTATTGTTTATCTTGTGCACGAGCGACAAATTTCTGTTCGCTCTTTTGGAGTCAGTTGCGTCTCAATTGACGTTTTGCCTTCACGAAAGTACACGTCATTCATATTTTCTTTAATTGCCAACCACGATTGATAAACTATATATACTATACCATATTAGTATATATTTTACTAAATATATGCATAAACTAAACTTGATAAACTATGTCTAATGACAGTATATAGCGTCTACTATATACGAAATATTATTTTTTTTTGTGTTGCATTTATTTCGCTTTGCTAATTTGTATATGATAAAGTTTTATTTATAAAGCGAAGATAAGTTGGCGCATGCCAACTTAATAATGCCGTGTAAATTGCGTATATATGTGTGTATATGTTTGTTTCAGCTTAAGCAACTGTTCTCATATATATAGATTTATGGATATAAGTTATTTATAACTATACTGTTTCTAGGCAAGTCTTTAAGGCTTATGCAAATTGGTATAAATTGCTTGCGAATCAATATTGTTGAAATGATCTGGAAATGTTGACAAACAAATTTCTTTATTATATTTCCATATGTTAGGTTTAACACTTGATCAGCTACATTCGGCTTCAAGTTTACAGTGACTCTATGTTTAGTTCAAGTATACTGAATACTGAAGCGTAGAAAATCATTATTTTAGATAGATAAATAATAATTAATTTTCTAAAAGAAATTAATCTTATAAATTCATTTCGCGCAGTTTATCTTCTATTTATCAGCGCAAACAAGGTCAATGTCAAGCAAAACTGGGTCGCTCTATTGTATATATCTACATATATTATACTGTTTGGTGCTCTTAAAAGCTAACCTTTTGGCATTAGATAAGCAGCTTTGGGCTGAGTCAGTGAGCAACAATTTGAATAGCGTAAATAAATTATTGAAATTCTGAAATTTCTAGATACTTCATTAAACTTTTTTTAGAAAGTAATTAAACTGATAGCATTAACTATATACTAAATTCAGAAAACGCCTCGTTATCAGTTTTCTTGGCGTATAAAGAGAGACAGGTGAAGGCTGCACTCGAAAAGATAATAATGCTTTAAGTTAAATAATATAAAAACCCAAGCCACTAAAAATTGCAGTTTACAATTTCATATATAAATATGTATGTATATATATTCCTTAAAGATAGCATAAAATAATCTACTTGAGAATGTAT